AATAACAGTCATTATTTTTGTTTTTCTAACTTGGAGTTCACTGTAAATTTGTTATCAAATGCTTTTTATTAATTTATTCTCATGAAGCCTATATGCTAACAGAACATCAGAAATTCAACTTATTGTAAATAGTAGCATACCTGAAAAACCCATCTTGGTATTTAACTGTAAAGCCAATTCTTTATTGTATTTACTTGGCAGCTTTCTTGTGAACTTCAGCCTCTCTCAAGCTATATCTTAAATTATGAGTTATTCCCATCTCATTTATTTCCTCTGTTCTACCAGGTGGTTGACCTTGAGAAGTTCTGCAAGCGGTGCTTTACCTTCTCCTCCCCATAATGCCATTGTAGCCCAGCTTCTTGATGTGCTCTTCTTTAAAGTTCCCTGACCTGATTGCTCAGTTTTCTTTTCCCTTGTCAGTGGCAGTTTCATAACTAAACTGCTTATTGCCACCAGGAGGCCAAGTCAAGTGTGGACATAGGACTACAGGGACAGAATGAGCGCTTCCTGCACTACAAGGGCTGCTGTGATGGATATGACTTCTGCAGTAGGACCTACAGATATTACTTCAGAGGAGCAATTGCCTATCATATATGGGTCCTTTAAAACTCAAGAACTGCCAGCGCCTGTAATTTGTAGACATACTCAGACAATTTTACCACCGCACCTAAATGTGAAGTGGGAGAAAGATAGTGATTCCTGAAAGCATTTAAAAGACATGTAGTTAAAATGTCTATAGTAGCCCTAACCAGTTTGGCTCAGTGGATGGAGCATCGGCCTGTGGACTGAAAGGTCCCAGGTTCGATTCTGGTCAAGAGAATGTACCTTGGTTGCAGGCACATCCCCAGTAGGAGGTGTGCAGGAGGCAGCTAGTAGGTGTTTTTCTCTCATCGATGTTTCTAACTCTCTATCCCTCTCCCTTCCTCTCTGTAAAAAATCAATAAAATATATATATTTTTAAATGTCTATAGTAGATTGGCAAAAATAATGAAAAGCTTACCTTTTTATAGGCCTCTTGAGCTCAGTACTTGATTTTTTTTTTTACAAGTACCCCTTCCTTTATTTAGACCCGCAAATACTAATTGCTGACTACTACTTAATGCTCTTTTAAAATAATTTCAGGTTACTCACAGATATCTGAGAACCTCTTTTAGTTTCACAAATCACTGTGCATTTGAAATGCAATGTAATGCCAGTGCAGAAAGTATATATGAAATGAGGCTGAAACTTTGTAATTTTTTATGGAACAGTTACATTTTAGTGAAAAGCAGTATTTGGTCCTTTGTGTATTTATGCCACAGGAAAGAAGGGTAATTTCCAACTGTTGATTTTAAATTCTAAACCTATATAGAAATCCAGATGCTACCAAATAAATAGAATTCCTGTTAGATTTTTTAAAATTATAAATCAGATTTACATGAGAGAGGATTATATTTATTCCTTTTATTTCTCTGACAATAGCATAAAAAACACTGTTCCCAAATTCTTGATTCATCTTAGTATAACTTTTCTTCCAATTCCTTGGATTATAATCTGGAAAGTCTGTCTCATCTGAGTATAAGAATTTTGTATTGTTTTCATTCTTCCTCTTTCCCCATCAGCTCTGATGTTAAGCTTTTCTTTCAGTTATAGTCAAAGGGAGACACGCATGGGTGATTTGCAGTTAAGTGCTTGCCTCCAAGCACATAAATGCCTTGACTTAACATTTAATCAAGATCCATGCCTTATGCCATACTCCTACTCTTTTGTCCTAGCACTAATAGATGGTGGCACAAGACCCCTGGGGCAATCTAAGGTTGTACATCTTCTGGTCAGAAAAGGAAGAGGGTTACTATGGAAAATTGGGTTTTCTTTTTGGCTTCTTGATTAAAAAAAAAAAAATGAATGGAAATTTGGTGTGAGGTTTTCAGGTGGTACCTTAAAAACTTATTTTAATCCATGAAACAAAACCAAAGCAAAAGGGCACATTGTATTTTATAAATGGGCTTGCTAAAAAGACAACTGCTATATTTATGTCCCCATTATGTGTACATGACATTTTGAATAATGTGAATTATAAGAAATCTAGTAAGTGACAGCATACAAGAGGACAGGTTTCAGCTATTTATGTTTAAGTTTTCTGTTGTAAAAAATAACACCAGTGGTTGCCAGGTGACATACATTTCAGTTTGTTAGTTCAGTAGGATCTGAAGTTGATGTTTATGCTCTGTGATTAGTATGATGGGTGACTTTTAGACAAGTTTACTGCATTTTTCTGGGCATCTGTTTTTTGTTTTTTCAACTAATAAATAAAGTCTTAAGCACTACGTATATCTTTTGTAGTACATAAAATGTTAGAAACTAAAATAGTACTAGCTGTGTGAAAATGCACTGTGCTTATTCGAGGAAAAGAAAATGCATTGATTGAGTTTCAACATTGCATAATCTTGGCTACTTATCTGTAGTACCAATGTCATGGATAAACACATATAAATGAAATGCAAATTACTTTTTCAAAGATAATAAATACATGGAAGTATAAGTACCTATACACTTTCCTATTGCTTTAGCCATTTGACAACTCGAGCTTCTCTTGATAATAAGAGAGTGTTATGGTTCTATAACCCTGGGTAGTCAAGCAGTGCACAGCAAAGCGATTCTTAACATTTTTACCAGAGCATGTGGTTAGAAATACATTTTACATACAGTAGGAATACACATACAGTTAATTACGCATGTGCATATAATAATTCAAAGTTTCACTAACTGTTTTTACCTTACTCTGGGTAAAATTTGTCCTATTTTGTTGCTTTTGCTGGTGTTGTTCATTCTGGTCTCTTCAAGAAATTGCTGGTCCTTGTTCACTAAATGCATTTCAGAGTTTCTAATGGATTGGGACCCACAGTTTGAAAAACATTGCACTAATCTGCACTTACTATAAAAAAATGCATTATTTTTGTAGAATTTCTCATTATTTTACTAAAATTACTTTTCTACTCTATTGATCACATAAGCTACTAGTCTCTTAAGAAATCTTTAGACTTCTCTCTTATTAGTGTGTATATTTAAAGTATGTAAAGATAGAGGATCTATACATAGAAACAATTTTAAATTGAATGTTTTAATAAGCTTACCACTCTATCTTTAAACATATGCCATGCCTCTTTTAAAAAATATATATTTTTATTGATTTTAGAGAGAGGAAGGAGAGGGAGGGAGAGAGATTGAGATATCAATGATGAGAATCATTGATTGGCTGCCTCCTGCACGCCCCCTACTGGGGATCGAACCCTCAACTCAGGCATGTGCCATTGACTGGAATTGAACCCAGGACACTTCAGTCCACAAGCTGACGCTCTACCCATTGAACTAGACCAGATAGGGCTGCTATGCTTCTTCATTGTTTAGCATCAAATAGCAATTTTATGTTTTATTTCCTTGATTTTTTTCTTTATTTGCATCTTCATTTCAGGTGTTCTTGTTATCTTTTATTTTTAATAGGTCATGTTTTTAATAACAGATACATGAAGTAACTTGGTTTCATTGAAAAGTTCTTTCTATATATTTTATCAAAGATAGAAGTAGGAAAAAAAAGATAGAATTAGGGGTTTCTTGACTTTCTATATCACTAAATCTGTTCACTACTTCTTTTCATCATTAGAGGTGGTTTGAAGAGTTGAATGAAAAACATAGTAGTCATATAGAAATACAGTTTCCTCTATCACTCCATATAAAATATGAGGTGATTTTTTTTTGCTCATTTAATTGCTAATTTTAAAAATTTATGACAGCATATAGCAAACCATAAAGGGAGGGGCAAAAGTAGGCAACTGTAAACCTACTTTTGCCCCACGGTATATATAGTGTCCAAATATATATATATTTATACACACACACACACACACACACACACACACTTTAACAGCTGATAACTCACTTAATTTTCACTCCTTTTCATGTTTAACTGATATGAAATAATGTGAAGTCAGACTAAGCTTTGAACAAAGAAAATTTATCCTAAAGTGCTACTAGACTTTTTTTTTTTTTTTTTTAATGGAGATACATAACAAAGTTTATGGTACAAAACTGCAATAGTCGACAAATTGAGGTTGCATAAAGACCAAGTGAAATGATTTTTGATGTTTGCAATTCCATTGCTTTGCATTATCAGTGCTTGAACCAGAATGGTCATCAGTTTGAAAACAGGCATTTACAAACAGACAGACAAACAAAAAAAAAATCATTTCTGTAGATTCTTTTAAATCTTGAAAATGAATTATCTATAATAATAAAAGCATAATATGCAAACAGATGACCTTCCACACAAAGCCGAGGCAGCTGGGTCCTCGAGGGCCGAGGCAGCAAAGGCCTACTTTTGCACGAATTTTGTGCATTGGGCCTCTACTATGTAAATAAACACTAATTTTATAATCATTCCAAGTGTGTAAATATATGTAAAAATAATACACTGTCATAGAATTCAGAAGGGAAGTAGAAAAAAGACATTCCTACTCTGAACAGACAGGCTTGGAAATGACATTAAAAAAGTAAGTTTAGTATACAAATGGTATATTCAGAAACAATTCCTTTATAATCTGACTGTAGATAGATAAAAGATTGCATTATAAAGTGTTTTGTACAAAAACTCAAAAGCATGTTGTGGAAATGAAGGTAATCCTCTATAATAAAAGGCTAATATGCAAATTGTCCCCTTGGAAGTTTACCGACCAGGAGTTTGATCACCTGCTGTGATGTGTGCTGCCCACCAGGGGCATCATGGAGCAAAGGAAAGCCCTAGCTGGCAGCCAGGGGAAGGAAGGCCCTGATTGCCAGCAAGGCCTAGGGACCCTACCCGTGCACGAATTTCATGCACTGGTTTTATATAAATTGCATACATTTGAATGTAAACTGAACAAATTTTCATTTGGATGGTGAGAATTCTTGAAGAATGTATTGTATATAAAATTGTCAGGTTATTGCTGAAGATTATTATTGAAGCTCTTTGTATATATCTCTTTCAGATATGGAAACAAGCGAAAAAATCCAAGAAAGTGGAATACTTCAATTGTTTGAAACTCTGTTGATTCCACAGTCTCCCTGCACAGCCAAAGTAGCTAACATCATAGCTGAAGTTGCCAAAAATGGTGAGGTTTTCCTCAAGAACTTTTCTGCTGGGAACATCTTCAGTTTTACACCTTAATTGTCAGTATGTTTTATTAATTTATGTTTTAATTTTGTAGATTAGACATTTTTCATTTTTTTATATTTGTTTTCTTTGCCTTTTTCGAGTAATTGTTTAAAATGACTATACTTATAGTCATTTTATTTATACATTTCGCATCTGCTATTCCCTTCTTTTAGAGTAGAATTAAAGGAAAACACTACTAGTCCTTGATGTACCTATATCCTTTATTACTTTGGTTATAGGATTCTTAAACTTGCCACTGAATCATTTATCTTTATTGTCATAGAGAGCTTAGCTTATTCTTTTAAATGTATATATTGTTTGTGTTGTACCCAGGTGTGAACTATTTATTTTTAGTCTGGTCTATCCTCCTGACATTGGCACTTGACAGCAACAGAGCAGTTGGAGTATATGTTCTGTTTTCTGCATTACCTTCATGGAAAACATTTAGTTTTTTAATTTTCATTTAAGAATATTCTGGAAAAACAATAATGACAGCAAAGCTTAGATCATATAATAGCTAATCCATCCCATTACATATAGTTTATATCTAATAAGAGATTCTTTACAAGAATTTATTGTAACAGAAATATTTGCATATGATTTTTTTAATTTGGTCAATTTGAGAAAACCCTGACTTAAAGCAGTTTTTAACATTAAAAGAGGGCCAAACTAAATGGAATACCTTTAGTTTGTCTCAGTATATTGTTTTAGGCATTTTATTTTAGTAAATTGCACTTTTAAGAAAAAAAATTTAATTCTGGCCTCATTTGTGTAATCACTATGTCAGGTGGTTTTGTACAATACCAATATATGTTGTTTTTAGCCCAGTAAAACAATTTGTTCATAAATGTATTACCAAATAGAAAATTACCATGACATTATTTTCATTTGTTTAGAGGTTCTCAAAATGTCTTTCAGGCTTCAGTAAGGTTTTTATATTTAAATCACAAATAGCTATTATAATTATATTATCACTATACTGTGCTTTGGATTCAGCTGGTCATAAACATTCAGGTCTTGAAATATTTCATATACCTCAAGCAGATTTGAACTGCTGTGAATTAGCAGTGATTACCTCAGGACAACAAAGAACTTATGAAGCAGATTTAGTTTGAAAATAGATCCCCCTCAGAAATAGTTTGTTAATCTAGACAAGTGGTCGGCAAACTCATTAGGCAACAGAGCCAAATATCAACAGTATAACAATTGAAATTTCTTTTGAGAGCCAATTTTTTAAAACTTCTTCTAATGCCACTTCTTCAAAATAGATTCGCCCAGGCCGTGGTATTTTGTGGAGGAGCCACACTCAAGGGGCCAAAGAGCCGCATGGCTTGTGAGCCACAGTTTGCCGGCCACGGATATAGACCAACCACTATCTGACTCTTAGATGCAAAGAAGCTTTATTTTTAAGATCAAGTCGTTGATTTTTAATCTCATTAGAATCACAATATAGATTTCCAGATACCAGGGATGTAGATAGTAGGTACCACTTTGAGAGAGGATGACCATCTCAGTCATTCTGTAATAATATCTATATTTCTGTATGTAGATCAATTTATTTTAAACATATTCCTGAAAAATTACTGGTATGTTTTCACATTTATCCATCTGAAGTAGGTAACTTCATGTTTTTAAAACTAGCTAATGGGGGCTGCACTCCTTGCTTTAAAAAGTAAATTGTTTGAAAAGCAAAAGGTTCTGGAAGAAGTTTACTTTCTCCAGGTACTGGTAGTGATGCTTTTACATTGATTGAAAAAGCTGAGGAATATACTAATTTTATCTTTTAAAAAAATTGAGCTAATTAAAATATAACATTTTGTATATTTAAGGTATTCTTTTGTTTTTTTAAATTGGTTTCAGAGAGAGGAAGAGAGAGAAACATCAATGATAAGAGAGAATCATTGATTGATTGCCTCCTGTACACCCCTACTGGGAATTGAGCCCGCAACCCAGGCATGACCAGAATTGAACCATGACCTCCTGTTTCCGTGTTGATGATCAACCAATGAGCCACACTGGCTGGGTTAAAGTATTCTTTATATGCTTTGGAATAAAAAATTCAGTTCAGAACAGTTTTACTTAATCCACAATTTTCCTGTAATTATTTACCCTTTTTCATTTCAAGAATACTGAGTATCAATTACAGCATCAAAAATTTGAAAGATAGGTTGATATAGACAATTAGAACATAAAAGCAAAGAAAAATAGTAATTCATCAGTGCTACCATTACCTAAAGAATACCAACAACAAAACAAACAGGAAAAAAAAAAAGATGTAACCACAGATTCCATTTATGAAATGAATGCAAATCAGACTGTTCCTAAATCTTTTATTTTTGTAGTCATTTAAATATTTCACTGTTGAAAACTAGGCATTGGGAGAGATGAAAAGCATAATGAAGATCTGCCTTTAATTTGATTAATTTGAATTAGTGACAAGTTATTTTAAGGTTTGAAATCTATAGATTCTAAAGTAACTATTAATTTAAGAGGTAGATAAGTAGACTGATGTGTCATTTTCTATAGTCATTGAAACCATGGAAGTACTATTATATAGTATAATTTTCAGTAGGTCATAGAATATCTCATAATACTGAGTTCAAAACAAAACATTGACAATATACTTAAAGGTTAGCTTTAGAAGTAAGAAAATATTCTTAATCTTTGAGTTTAAATTATAGGGGATTTTCAGTAATTTAGAGGTGAGTAAGAGATATGATAGAAATGCAATCCTTTATTTAGGTAGAGAGGAATACCTCTTGACTTAATAGCTATGTTAGGGAGAAAAGAAGCTGCTTCAGAGGTAACAGTTCACGTAATAGCCCTATATGATATGCTCTAAGAATTTGAAATGAAGGAAAAGAGGGATATTGTTTATGGAGGGTACTTGTCGTACCATTTTTTTTAAACTATATTTTATTGATTTTGTAAAGAGAGGAAGGGAGAGAGATAGAGAGTTAGAAACATCAATGAGAGAGAGTCATCGATTAGCTGCCTCTTGCACACCCCCTCCTGGGGATATGCCCGCAACCAAGGTACATGCCCTTGACTGGAATCGAACCCGGGACCCTTTAGTCCCCAAGCTGACGCTCTATCCATTGAGCCAAACCGGTCCCGGCTACTTGTGGTACCATTTAAGGAGTTCACCCTCGCTGAGTGAAAGGATTATGTAGGATAAATTATGGTTTGAAGAACTAGATCTCTATTGACTAGAACATTCAGTAAGTTGTGATATTCAAAAGGATGATTCTAATATTGGTTATTAGAGAACTTTCATCAATTAGGTATATTTATATCCTTAAATTTTGTATTAGTCTCTCATGAGACATTCTATAAAAGTTTGTCTAATCATGACTCTGATGGTATCATTGGAGTGTTAAATTTAGAATGGTATATTATAAACCCAAGGGAAAATAAGGTTTGAAGTATAAGAATATGTTTGAGGCTTTAGATCAAATGTATGGGAACAGCAGCAGATATGAGTGATCCATAAAATGAATTTTAATAAGGAGTAGGAATGAAGATAAGGAATAGATGGTTCTTTTGAATCTTATCAATGGAAAAGGTATATTTATGACTAGAGGCCCGGTGCATGAGATTCATGCACTTGGTGTTAAGGGAGGTCTCTTAGCCCGGCCTGCTCTTCCTGGCAGTCTGGGAACACCCTCTGGATGTCTGATGATGGCTTAGCACTGCTGCTGAGGCGGGAAAGGCTCCTGTCACCAGGGGGCAGCTCCTGCGTTGAGCATCTATCCCCTGTTGCTCATTGTGCTTCATGGCAACTGGTTGTTCCATCATTCGGTCAATTTGCATAATAGCCTTTTATTATGTAGAATTAGAGGCCCGGTGCACGAAATTCATGCACGGGGATGGGGGGTCCCTCTGTCCAGCCTGCACTCTCTCCAATTTGGGACCCCCTCAAGAGATGTTTAAACAGGCAGTTGGATATCTCTCTCACAATCCAGGACTGCTGGCTCCCAACCACGCGCCTGCCTGCCTGCCTGCCTGCCTGCCTGATTGCTTCTAACCGCTTCTGCCTGTCAGCCTAATCACCCCCTAACCACTCCCCTGCCAGCCTGATCAACACCTATCTGCTCCTCAACCTGCATATTCTCCTGATATTGCCCCTTCCGATTACCATTTGTTTCGTTCTTTGCAAAACTTTCTTCTTGGAAAAAAATTTAATAATGAAGAATGCCTCAAAAATGCATTGACCGAATTTTTTGCATCAAAATCACAAGAATTTTACAACAGAGGGATTAAAATGCTTCCTGAGCATTGGGCACAAGTAGTAGAAAACAACGGCAACTATATTGTTGATTAAATTTTGTTGTATTGTTTAAATAAATTCGATTTTAAAAAGTATTAGAAAACGACATTAATTATTACTAGACCTAATAAAAATATTGTATTTTGAATTTCTGGAAAATATAGAGTGAAAATTATGCAATTTGATGGCTTAGTTTGTAACTGTAATATAGTAGTCCTCACTTAGTGTTATTAATAGGTTCATAGAATTGTGGTGAAACAATGGATGACAAAACTGATTTTACCATAGGCTAATTTGATATAAACAAGACTTAGATTTCTTCTGCATCTCATCAGCATTTTAACAAAACAGAATTAAACAGAACAAGCTGTTTGAGGACCTGCTGTACTTTCATTATCAGGCTCATGGAAAGACTATTACCAGTGTTTCCACCTTCACATGCTGCTTCTTAAGCACATACAATCATTATAAGAAAATGGTGATAAATTAGGTATAAAGTAAGTTAATTAAAAATCCTTTTGGTTTATGGCAGACTATTAGCAAAGGAAAATACGACCCCACTCATTTTGTGTACTTTTTCATGAAGCATGTAGTAGAATACCAATGGTAATTTTGAACAGAAATGTACTCTTCAATGGTAAGCCACTTTAACCATTTTAATAGTATTTATTTTATTAGGGAACATTATATGTAACTTGTGAATTTTTAGATTTTTAATTAAATATGTCTTTTATTTTCAGAGTTCATGCGAACTCCATGTGTGGATGCTGGATTGATTTCACCACTGGTGCAGCTGCTAAATAGCAAAGACCAGGAAGTGCTGCTTCAAACGGGCAGGGCTCTAGGAAACATATGCTATGATAGCCGTAAGTGTTGAAATATCAGTGATACACTTATAAACTTTTGCTTAAAGATTATGATTTTTCAGACTAATTTCCCTTTTAATCTTAGCATTGTCTTTTCTAGGCTAAGCCACTAACATGGATCTATATGACAGTACTGTCTCTGAATGAGAATGTTTATGAACACAGTTTTTTAAAGTTTTGAAGTCTGTCCAAATAAATTTTTATTTCATTTTTTTAAAACATATTTTTATAGATTTCAGAGAGAAAGGGAGAGGGAGAGATAGAAACATCAATGTGAGAGAGAATCATTGATCGAGTGCCTCCTTCACGCCCCACACTGGGGATCAAGCCTACAACCTGGGCATGTGCTTTTGACTAGAATCAAACCTGGGATCCTTCAGTCCACAGATGAATGCTCTATCCACAGAGCCAAACCCGGCCAGGGCAGTCCAAATATACTTTTAATTACTTGCAATTCAGTAAAACCATAAAAACTATTACCTTCTCAAAAGCTAGATTGGCCTACTACATCTGCATTGAGTCCATTCCTATTTGTCACAAAGCCATTATCACCCTCACCGTTTTCTGTAACACACTGTTATAGGCAAAAAAAGAAAGCAAGAACTTGGATATGGATATATTGCAAAAATTTTACACTTCCTACTTCTCCTTTGTCACATATATGTAAGCAAAATATAGAAAAATTTTGAGTACATTTAATTTAATTAGATTTATCCTAATTTTCCTTAGATTTATGTTTTCTGAGCCCAAAACAAATACTTTAAATTTCACCTTTAAAATTTCCTAGGAATTTAATTCTATTATATAACTAGGATAACTTTTATTGCTTATTTTCTTCATTGAGTTTATGATTCACCTTTTACATGAGTTCTATTTTGTTGTAAACACACTAGACAAAGCCTTTTTATAATAGGCAGTGCTTCCAATAGTGATTTGTGCACATAAACCAGATATTACATAAGGTAATAAACTTATTCATTTATGATAAAAGAAAGAAATTGAAAAAAGGGTTAAAACTACAGCTTTCAGTCATAACTTGTCTGTAGCAGTGGCGGTAAGTTTAGCCTCCTATATTCTCCTTTACTTCCTTTTTCTGGAACATTAACTATTATGTCTGAAGAAATAGATGCTAGTTCTTTTTTGCTAGGATGTTAACTTTATTTACAAAATTCTAGTGCTGTATGTTTATAATTTACATTTTCATACTTAATGTTTTTATTAAACACTATAGCTTACAATGTTAGTTTTCAAGAATGATCCACTTATTTATATTTTACATGATTAATTTTAACAATATATATTATAAAGACTTCTACAGAGTAATTGTGAATGATTGATGGCATATACTTGGAGAGCACTGATCATTACAATCCTGTTTTATTTTTAGAATTTAAGGCTATCCAGAGTATTTTTTTAATATTTTTAATTTAGTTATTCTTGAATTACCCATTATTTGAACATAGGAGATACCTGTTTAGTATACTTTTGCCTTGAGTTTCAATTAATATTGCTAAAATAGAAGAAACAGCCATAGTGATTTATTGTTTCATATTGCTCTGGTTGTTATGGGCACAGAGTAATTTTATTTCCTGTGTTCTAAAGATCCTTGAAGTTAGGGTAATAAATGTCTAATAAATATTATTATTATTTTGATGAAACCGCAGTCCATTATTATAGTGTTTTTATCATATCCATTTACTCTGTTCTTACAAGGTATACAGTATAAAATCTTTAGGCTATGATGTTCGTTTTTTAAATTTCATTTATCAGTAATATTTATAGCCACTTTGTTCTCATTTAATTTAATGGAAATTATAGTTCCATGGAAAATTGAGCATAGTGAATACAGGCTGTTTTTTATACTTTTAAATCTTTTTTAAGAAAAATGAAGTTAATTGTCCTAAAAATTAATATAAGAAGTAATTTATTACTATAAATCATTTGATGAAATGTGTTCATTGTGTCCTGTTTATGCATATAATTTTCCTAAGAATGTATGTTTATTTACCTTTTATTTGAAATTAATTTTCTGTGAAGTTCTTATTGATTTTTCCAAAGAATTGTAGGAAAAACATAGTACCTATATTTGAATTACAAGAATAACATAAAAATCTATAAATATGATGCTATGTAATTGACTTGTGAATTTACTTGAAATGTATTTTTCATATTTTATGACAATTGGCAGTTTGAAAGGACCCAGAAATTAGATTTCTCTTTTTAAAAGTTTTGAATGGCTTCTATTTTAATTTTAACTTTCCATCTTGAGAATGTAGTTTTCTATTATCCTTCAAAGAATACAAGAAGTCTTATAAATACAAGAAGTCTTTTTCTTATAAATAACAAGAAGTCTTTTAAATACAAGAAGTCTTTTTCTTATAAATAATATGTTTTAAAATTCACATTTGTGTTTTATAAACCTTATACATTGGAATAATGTTTACTTACATTTTATATACTCTAAATGTATAATTTTTTGTGTGAGTTTATTCAGAATAATTCTAGGTTTATGATAGTAAAGAACCACAATGAATTCACTGTTAGAAATATAAATTTGAGAAATGTGTGCCTATTTTACAGATTTTTATTTTAATATTAAAAAGTAAAGTGTTTGCAAGCATATTTCAGTTATATATAAATCCATGGAAATCTTTTGAAAATAGGTTAGATTTCAGTTTTACTAGCTTTTACCAGATCTTAGGAAAGCTTCCTAATGGGAGGAAACAATCTTACATAATGCTAACATCTGGTAACAGACGATAAAACTGCTCAATGGGACATAGTGAGGCTTAATTGTTGATGAGCTTTTTAATTCCCAGGCTGTCTCTTGCATATAGAAATGAAAGAATCGCTTTGTGGAAACATTAAAATACCTGGTCTTTTTTTCTGTTTTTCCAGAAAATATTCAAGGCACTTCAGTTATAGATTTCTCTTTAGAACTATGCAAGCAGACTTTTGATATAAGCAACATTTTAAACTCTCTTGCTCTTGGACTTTGGCAAAATAACCTTTTCTATCAAAAAAGAAAGTTGTATTTCATTTTTAGAAATCAGCAAAGTTGTGATTGGAATATGCTAGGGATTGTGATTTTAAATAAACAGAAGTATTACCCCTAATTGGTGTGGCTCAGGTGGTTGAGCATTGTCCCATGCAACAAAAGATCGCCATTTTGATTCCCAGTCAGAGCATGTACCCAGGTTGCGGGTTTGACCCCTAAAGTCAGGGTTAAGGTTTCTCTCTCTCTAAAATTAAAAAACAAACAAACACGTTTAAACATTTCAGTAATGAACATCTTTGGCCTGTATAATTACATGTTCCTTTCCAATGAGTTATTTTATCTTCCTTATATGGCTATCTTTGCCCTTTCTTTCAGTATTAGCTTTGTCTATATAGCTGTGCACATTTTAAATTGCTGATATATTTAAATAGTTTTACAGTATTGAAGAGCTCCATATTAAATTTACACCTTTTATAATTCATAGGGATAAATTGATGATGGAAGAAGTTTTTTCCTGTTTGTATATGTTACTGCTTAAGGTTAGGAAATAATTGATATGGGATATACTGTTTAAAAGTTAGATAGTAGAAGCTTGAAGAAAATGATTACATGATATTAAATATATGTGTTTAATACATTCGAGAATATGTATAATATATAATTCAAATTAATACATGTTAAAATTGAATAACTGCCTTTTTTGCTGTTTAAATTGAATCTTTTTAATTTTTTATGCCTTAAAAAAAGGTGAATAATTAACCTTTTCCTGCTGAATAGAGTTGTACTTCTAGAGAAACTGTACTGTTATCACTTCAAGTTGAATTTTAAATCAGAGCTATATGGACATGTGCACATACACACACACACACATAGACTAGCATGATTTATTTTAGCATGAAATAGTTTGATACAAAAGCATCTTTTATTTCTAAAATAATTGGAATAAAATTTATTTTGATCTTGAGCAGTTGGACTAATTGGAGCAATAAATTATTTCCATTGTTACCTGAATGTTCTTTAGAAGTCATTTAAGAAAATTTTATGGAAATAATTTACTTCTTTTATATGTAACCACAATCTTCTGCTAATAAAATAAGTATATAAAAACATAGGAAATAGTGTAACTTTAGTGATTTCTTTAGGAAATGTCTGGTGATTTATAGATGTTTCATTATTATATAAAGGCTTTTTGAGAAAAGTATAATTGTCAAAAAATTTTGACTGATGTGAGAAATCTATTGGATTACAGAAATTAATACCACTATCAGCAGACACACATGAGCTATGCCATGCCATGACCTAATTTTATACTGCATCTGTGGGACTTGTGCTTTCCTGTTCCTGCACTATAAATGTAAATATTTGGAATTTTCCTCATGAAGGCAGACTTTAAACCTGGATATAATGCTCTGTCACAAGAAGCTTTGTGCTTCTTTTTTGACATATGAATATTTAACAGTCATGGTGGTTGTTTTTTTTCATGAGTCATTTTTATAATTTCACTGGGGTAACATTTATAGCTTTTGTTTTTAAATCTAGGCTTTCATGCATTTTGCCTGCACCTGGATCATGAGTAAAATGCATTTTAAATTTTAGTAAAGATATTGATGGGTTCTAATTTTTCAGGGAACCATAACTGTGTGGAAATCACACGCAACTTTTTAAAAAGTAATTTGATGTTAAAATTGATCAACTAATAGCCAAGCCTACAGGTGAAAATATTTCATGATTTCTGAGAGTAGCGTCAATTGCATAAATCTTACATGAAGGTCTCGTCCCTTTCCTTCTTTATTATTCTGAATCATTGTGACATAATTTCTTCATAGTCTTTTCAAATTTTACTTCTTATCACATATTTCGTTTAGCTCTGATTTTTTTCTTATTTTGTGATTTGGGTGATTATTTATTGCAAGATTAATTAGAAAAGTTTTACATTAAAGTCAGCTTCAGAAAAGGACTGGTGTATTTCTATAGTTGCTCTATTCACAATAGTCCCCAAATA